TATTTTTTGTCATCTGATGTCCGACAAACAAGAAATTAAATTGCTGTGGCCCAAGCATGTTTTCCCAGAGAGAACTTCTGCATAGTATGATATGACTAGCCCTATCATAAACCATTGATGCAGCTATTTCCATTTTAATCATTAATTGTGACACCTAAAAAAATTCATAAGACTAACTGTGCCTTGTCAAGTCATAAACATGTACAGGTACATTTGTACATCAAATATAAGAAAAGAAAATATTAAACACAAATCTGGAGCATCCACAGACTACACTCCTACTCGACAGATAAAAAATTGTTAACTGTATAGGCTACCATCACAAGCCAGAGGTTTTTTTTTGTCAATTTTTTCTTTTACAGATAGAATGACAACAAATCCCATGGCTTGCGATAATGCGTGTGGCCATTTATCCATTTTTTTTTTTTGACATATAAGATTACCATAGTATTAAGCTGAAACATTACCCAATTGAATAGTATACTGCATTAATCCAAACAGATTTTTTGAATTTCTTATGATTTCATCTAAGTTGAGTCATTTTTTTTTTTTCATTTGTTTTATAATATTTTGGTTTGAAATGCTTGTATATCTGTACATTGCTAAATTATTTAATAAAATGAATGAGGTACAAATGTCTTAGTGTTTTATAAGAGATTAATAATACTAGAAAGAGTTTGAGTGCTGTAATGTAGAGTCTGCTATTTATACAAATGTAAATTTAAAAAAAAGGAATAAAAATTAAAATTTTAGAATTCCCAATTTATTTTTACACCACATATATAAATACATGTACATGTTATGCTTGTAATTTAATACAAAAGTTTGACATAAATTTCATATACCGGTAGTTACCATTTGACACACTATATAAAACAAATTTTCCTCATGGCTACTTTCCTGCAGTGGCACATAAAATAATTAAATTTCTGATTCATTCTTTTGTTGCAGTTCCAAATTATATATCTTTTTCAAGCTGAAGAAAACAGTTGAATTTTTTAATCTCAACAATGGATCATATCTCAAGTACAATGGAAAAGCCAATGATATGTGTTGTTTTTTTTTTTTATTTCTTAAAATCTATTATCATTAAATTCTTCGGACATCTCTCACTTTTTTTCTTGATACCAATGTGTTTAAGATGATGAAGTTTGATTGATTGTTTTAGCTTAATGTCCTTGCCAACATTGTAAAGCATGAGAGGAAAAATTGGATTACCATTTATAATTGAATAAATTAACAGCCTGGCAATATTTGACTACAATAACTTAATTCAGTACAATTGTGGTATAATACTTGTGGAGAACAGTATATATATGTCTGTATTTCTTACTTAAGTTGCAGACTGTCATTCCTTTTTTATCACTGCATTTCATTTCCGGAAATCTGCATAGCATTTCTAACATTTTTTAAAATTTCATTTCCAACAATTTTTCTTTTCATTTCCAACATTTTCTTTTCATTTCCTGAATGTTTGCAAGGTATCTCTCGTGCAATTTAATATGTTAACCAAGACAGTGGAAATGGAATTTTCAAAAAAGTAATTAATTTCAAACCACATTTTCAAAATATTGATTTAAACATAAAGATTTTGTCTATAAACGACCTGTACATGTAGGACTAAAGAGAAAGAATTCAATGAGCATGAATTTTTTTCATTACCATTCATGTTGATTACATTAAATGTCAATGACTGAATCGAACTTATGTCCAAGACATTTGATACACTATAATTATTCTTATTAGATTAAATTTTTCATAAGTGAATTCTTCAATCCTGCTTCCATTATCAAAAAACACTACCTGAAAATGTTGGAGATGAAAACTTTGAAATGTCTGAAATGAAAAGTGAAAAATTTCTAAAAATTCTGGAAATGAAATGCAACCTTTATTATAACTCTTATAGATCTGCATCATACACACATGGGAATAAATTTAATGAGTAAATACTTGAAAAATTTAATCAGTTATAATCAGGAGTAAAAATATATGTACCCTGTACAGCCATAAGTGAAACTACATGAAATTCAATAAGCAGTTTAAATATTAAAAGCACAACAAGCATTGAAACACAAGTACATGTACAGTGAAAACTGTCTTATCTAACACTAGTGTAATCTGTTTCCCTGTGAATTCCAACTTGAATAATCATTCTAATTTTACTGTTGTCAATGTTCTATACACTGTATGATCTGACATGTTTATTCCCACACAAAAAAAACGCTGCCTTTCATAAAATAAAACACCACTAAAATATCAAGGACATAATTAACTTATCAAAATTATGATGTTATGAACGAGAGAACCATGAATCAAATTGCTCCTCCAAGTTGTCTTGGCAATTTTAGAATCCTTGGTCCTTCAATAGATGATGCTCGCTGACAACACTTATTTACTGAAGATGGGGGTTTGGGATGTAATTTACTTTTGTTCTCACCTTGGACATGAATCTATAGAATGTATGCCCCAAGAAAGATTAATGAACTCTTTATTAAAGGCTTATTTTCAAAGAAGTATGATACCCCCTCCCCTTGGGCAATAAACATTGGTGGGTGGGGTGTAAATGGGAATTACATTGACTGTCTGTCTGATTTGTTGTCCATGCATTTGAATCCAGTCCATATTTTTGTAAAGGAGAAACATTCAAAGATCATACTGGACACAAAATTTCTTACGACTCGTTTCTTTTGACCTTGGGACTTAAGGTCATTTGGGAAAGTTTGAGGTCCAGGGCAGAAATTTTCTAGAATTTTTGTTTGGCCAATAACTCTTGGAAGCTGACACTTGACAGAACAAGAGGCACTCGGGCCTTATAGGTCACCTGAGTATCATCTCACAACTTTCCAACAATTAAATTTGGACTGTGTTTTAAACCAGATCAGGCCATGAAATTCAAATTCACATACAATTTTGAATGAGGCACCATTGCTTATCATAACTATACACTTAGCATGCTTACTTTGGTTACTTAATACTCAGAGTAACAAAGAGAAAATGCATATCCACTTTATAACCAGTTGTGCACCCCACCCCAAAAGAAACCACTGACCCTTATTTCAAAATTCTAGGAATTTTATCATAAATTTTATTTCATCATAAATGGTTGATTAATAACAAGGAGCAGATTTCAAAACATTAATTTATTTTCAGACTATGTACCCCCCCCCCCCCAAGTACCCCTGACCCAGGGCCCTGAAATTGACCATTTTGGAAGAGGCAGCTTTCTTCATCATAAATATGTACTTAGATCATTGGCATAATACCCAGGAACAAAGGAAAAAATTTTCAAAGAATTCATGAATTTTCACTGTATAATCATTAGAGCCTCGTCCCACAGCCTTAGTCCCATAGAAGAATATTTGCAAAGAAATAATGCATTTTTACTAAATAATCTATTTAGCCCAGTCCTAGAACCCCTGGATCCATGAATTTCAAAATTTTGGTAGAGGACTCAACGCTGATTACAATCATCCCAACAGTTTGACTGTTTGATGTGCAGGAGTAAAGAAGATTTTTTAAAAAATTGCATCAATTTTAGTGGTTTAGGCCCCACCCCTTAGGTCCCAGGGGGGCCATGAAATTCAAAATTTTTGTTCCCCTTGACCCATAGATGCTTTATTCCAAAATTGGTTGAAAAAGGTTGTGTGGTTGCAGAGAAGAAGCTGAAAATGTTCAAATGTTAACACACGACGCACAATGCACAACGATGGAAGAATACGCATAGCAATAGGTCACGGTGACCTAAAAATTGCTTATGGTCTAAAGGTGTGTCATTAAGACGGTTTTGCAAGTTTAAGGTTACTGGCAGATGTGCTTGGCCTGTAACTTCTAATGGTGAAACATTAGAAGTTTTAATGTTGCACAATTAAGCTATCATTGTGAATCAAGGCCAGATAGGAAAGTTCAAGGTTACTTTGTCAGTGTGTACAAGAAAACTTTAAAATCATGACAGCATGGAGTATAATTTATGATTTTCTGAGCTTACTCACAGAACCTCTCAGTTTATCTCTACAGCTTTATCCCTCATCTTTTTTTGAAACCTTTAGGTGATGCTTATTTGCCTTAAACTTCAAACTTAACTGATAAAAAAAATCTGCAAGAACATGAAATTTATGTTAATATCTAATATCTGAGTATTTTTTCAGGAAAACTGGTTTACTCTTTCTCTATTCATGACAATCGTTTTAGTGTGGTGCATGTTGCTTTGAATGCCTGTCAGTACAAACCAAATGAAAACACATGCACTATCTTCAGCTACTTCATTGAATAAAATGAAAAAATAAATAAATTCAGAACATATAACAGTTTATTCTAAATGCTTCAAAATCATAACAAAATGAAACAAGTAATTTAAATGTTCCTGTCAATAAAACAATTAGTGACAGAATACCATTATCAGCAGTCATGCATTTCACAAAACATCATCATACATGCAATTCTTTAATGGAGGTTTTACAAACTGAAATAAAATGACAACACCAAGGAACTAGATGTTAAGTAGCTGTTTAGCAGTCGCTTACTTTCATATTGTACACTGATAATTGGGATATATATACATGTATGTTCAGAATTTTGAAAAATTAGGAAGTGTATATAAGAGATAAATTCATAAAAACCAAAATACATGTTTAACTGAATTTGACACACTATACATATTCTAAAGAATTTTATATATTCACAATTATTGCTAAAAAAATTGAATTCAAAAATTCTGCAAAAATACTTAAAATAACAATTTTTATTTAAATTTTTCAGACCGTCTTAAAAAAAAGTTTCATTGTCCTCTCCTGACAGACTGACAAAATATAGTTCAACTCAAAACTTTTTTTTCCATTCCAAGACACAATATTCTTTTTTTTTATTCCTCTTATCCAGTCAACAATTATGTTGAAATTTTCTGGAAAAAAAATTCCCCACCTATATACATGTACCATTACCAACCCAATAAATTCACCTTCAGTCGGGAGAGGGCAAGTAAATATCATTTTAAAGATGGCCTTATGATCTACTTTTTATTAAGCCACACTTGTAAGTGTGAGATCATATTTCAAAAAACTCTTGACAAACTTGTTATCTTTAGTTCATGGTTTCTGCATTGTTACTAGGTTTGAAAACAATTTATTTTCATTCTCATTCAAGTTTGTAAAGGATTATAAAATAAACACAATTAGCAAAATTCTTGTAACCATATTCTTACTTAAGTGTACACCGATATGAATGCATGTGGTGTTACTGAACCAAATGGTTTTTTTTATACATGTACTTATCAAATGAGGTCTCGGTAAATTTGTTATTAAGGTTAATGCCCTTGTAAGACAACCTTATTTTACAATTGCAAGTTCTCAAAAAGGATGTCATTAACATGATTTACAAAAATTAAAGCACTTCATAATACATAATGCATGTATACAAATGCATAGAAAGGTACTGATGTACCTTAAAAAGTCTTGAATTCTGATTTTCAAGTACATACAGCTCATGAGTTATGACTTCAATGATACAAATGGAAATGGAAAAAATTGCAAGTCTGGAATGTAAATTATAAAAAAAATTAAATTCCTACACCCTTTATACACCAACAGCTCCATATTCTAAATTCCAAGTCTCATACTGATGTAAACTTTCTGGTGCGACACTTCGTCGAATTCTTTTGAGGGCCTCCAAAAAATCCTTTTGTGTAATATTCCGTACCTATTTGAAGACATACAAAATATGTGTAGTTGTTAACATACCGGTACATGTATATTCAGAAATTAGATGTTACATAAATAAGAACTTTAATGTTACTGGAAAAAATGCATATGTCTCTATTTATTTTTGTCTTTAATGAACACATTTTTGAGATCATAGAACAGGTAAAACTTGAAAAGTACAAAACATCTTTGTTCTCTCTGAATCTGTTTCTTTAAATCTTACTTGATTTGCATCCACAGTCTTCACCTCTTTTGTTGATAAATCTGGAAGATAAAAATAATAATTAAGCTATTTACATTAATAACAAATACATAAACATCACAAACATGAAGATGTGTATGCTTAGTTTTAGGTGATTCTATAAACTCTCATCATTATACACGTACCTCTTATTGGACCAAGAGCTTCATCCTTTGCCAAAGCATTAAGATCACTACCTGAATAGCCCTCCGTCAATCTGAAGAAAATCAACATCATTTAAAATCATACGCATGATCACTCAATGAAACAGAATTTTTACATAAAATTCTGATTAGGACAATACATGAGAGATAAACTGACTGTGCAATGTGGTCTAACTCCTGACTAGAAAGGGGACTGCCATGTTTGGACAGAAGATGACTCAGCATATCTTTTCTCGTCTCTTTTCCAGGCATCTTTACATAAACTCTTTTAGCAAACCTCCTGTCAATATAGGAATAGAAACATGAAATTTTTGCACAACAGTGTAACTTAAATGTATACTCACCGTCAATAGAAACGCAACATCCGTACATAATTTTCACCCGTTAAATTAGGGTGTTGCGTTTCTATGGTAATATCAGGCATTTATAATCAAATAACTTGAAGTTATTGATTATTTTTTGTGCAGTGTAACTATAAATAATTTTTAAAGTACTGAAACCCCTCTGTTTATGTTATGTTTTCATTAATTTTTCATTCAAACACCTCTATTTTAGAATCCTTTACTAATCAAACTATGGGCTGAAGTAATTCACGGAGGTGTGGTTTGGTGTTGACCATGAATCGCAGGAAGAAGACGCTAGCCTACTTGATAGGCTTAGCCGTGATTGTATACTGCAGTGTCCAGGTGATGTACATGAAAGATGTTTACAGCCCTCTTCAGGTCCTGGCAGATGCACACAGTGAAGCCAAGAGGCTAATGCGCTTCATTACGGCATACCATTTCATGTGTAACAATACTTTGACATTATCTAACACCACTAGTTGGCCTATCTGTATTGAACAAGATGGAGGAATCAACATGGATACGTCATTGCCAAAAGTTATATATTCCATAGGGTACAGAAACACTCCTTACTCTTTTTTTTTTTTAAATTTATTGCTAGTTTAATTGAAAAGTCCCCCTCCTTTTCCTGTACTTTTCCTAATTGTGTTCCCCAAACGAAGTTGGGGAACATATTGTTTTTACTCTGTTTCTTATTAAGGTCTTCCGTCTTCAGTGGAAGACCTTATTGTTTTTCTTAGGTTTCTTTTCCACTATTTTTAGGGTCTTCCGTCTCCAGCGGAAGACCCTTCTATTATTCTATTGTTTCTTTTTCACTTTTATTATTATTATTATTTTTTTCTTTACACATTTTTGTGCAGACGATTTCTCAGAGATGCTTGGGTGGATTGTTTTGAAATTTTCAGGAACGATGTATCATGACCTAAACCTTATTCATATTTTTCATTTTTTAAAAAATCACTTCCGGTCGGAAGTTATCGCCCTTTAATCGAATTTTTAGTGTCCATTTTGTCGACACAAAAACTCAAAAACGACAAAAGCTAGAATGTTGTCCTTTTCAGGACTAATAGAAGACATATTGTAGTTTTGCACCTGTACTTTCAAATCTTCCGGAAGTGAAAAGTATGGAAGCTCGGTAGGGGTCGAAATCTAGGACACGAATTATGAGTGATTTTTTGAGACATTTTGCATCATATCTCTTAAAGTATAAATATTTTGTTAAAACATACTGAACAATATTTGTGGAAAATGACATGATCTTTCATATGATATCAGGAAAAAAGTGCTGACTCATCACACTAGGGGCCAAGAGGGGCCAACAGTCTTTAATCGATAACTCTTCATCAGTCAATATTTTGTAATACATTACTGAAGCAAAAATGTTTATCTCAACCATCTACAACTATATATTATGGTTTTTATGTCGTATGGTACATAATTAGGGGCCACAAGGGGCCAGAATGCTTAATCTTTGATGCTTTATATCTCGAAAGGGAGAAATATTTTGATAAGCAATATTGAACAAAAGATGTTCAGAATAATGTCCTGAATAATATGCAACCTTTCATTTTTTGCTAAACGTCCCCGTTAAGGGGTTGAAGGGTTGGCCCCTAAATATTTCTTTTGCAAATAACTCGAAAACGAAAAAGAATCTCTGAATTATTGTTGAACAAAAAGTGTTCAAAATTATAAGAGCTTTAAGACGAAATCAAGAAAAAGGGGCTGGGCACTCAAATCAGGGGCCAAGAGGGGCCAAAAGTCTTCAATCGATAACTCTTTATCAGTAAATATTTTGTAATACATTACTGAAGCAAAGGTGTTTATCTCAACCATCTACAACTATATATTATAATTTTTTTGTCGTATGTAATATAATTAGGGGTCAAAAAGGGCCAGAATACTAAATCTTTGACGCTTTATATCTCAAAAGGGAAAAATATTTTGATAAGCAATATTGAACAAAAGTTGTTCAAAATAATGTTCTGAACAATATGCAACCTTTCATTTTTTGCTAAACGTCCCCGTTAAGGGGTTAAAGGGTTGGCCCCTAAATATTTCTTTTGCTTATAGCTCAAAAACGAAAAAGAATTTCCGAATAGTTTATGAACAAAAAATGTTCAAAATTTTAAGATCTTTAAGATGAGATCTCAACATAGGGGCTGGGCTTTCAAATTAGGGGCCAAGAGGGGCAAAAAGTCTTCTTTCTCTTACTCTTCATCAGTTAATATTTTGTAAAACATTACTGAAGCAAAGATGTTTATCTCAACCATCTACAGCTATATATTATTGTTTTTATGTCGTATGGTACATATTTAGGGGCTACAAGGGGCCAGAATGCTAAATCTTTAATGCTTTATATCTCGAAAGGGAGAAATATTTTAATATGCAATATTGAACAAAAACTGTTCAAAATAATGTTTTGAACAAAATGCAACGTTTCATTTTTCCTTAAACGTCCCCATTAAGGAGTTAAAGGGTTGGCCCCTAAATATATCTTTTGCTAATAGCTCAAAAACGAAAAAGAATTTCTGAATAGTTATTGAACGAAAAATGTTTAAAATCGTAAGATCTTTCAGAAGAGATATCAAAAAAGGGGCTGGGTACTCGAATTAGGGGCCAAGAGGGGTCCAAAGTCTTAATTGGATAACTCTTTATCAGTAAATATTTTGTAATACATTTCTGAAGCAAAGATGTTTATCTCAACCATCTACAACTTTATATTATGATTTTCATGTCGCATGGTACATAATTAGGGGCTATAAGGGGCCAGAATGCTAAATCTCTGATGCTTTATATCTCGAAAGGGAGAAATATTTTGACAAGCAATATTGAACAAAATATTTTCAAAATAATGTTCTGAACAATATGCAACCTTTCATTTTTTGCTAAACGTCCCAACTAAGGAGTTGAAGGGTTGGTCCCCTAAATATTACTTTTTCTAATAGCTCAAAAACGAAAAAGAATTTCTGAATAGTTGTTGAGCAAAAAATGTTCAAAATCTTAAAAGCTTTAAGATTATATGAATGAAAGGGCCGATTCCTAAAATTTGGGGCCGTTAGGGGCCAAAGGCCGATTTTTTAAGTCTTTAATGTTCAATATCTTTTACAGATTGTTGCAAGTCATTATTTTAGAATGAAAATCGCAATCAAAATCTTATCTCATCTCATTAAGAATCGGACGGAAGACCCACTCGTTGCTCGCAACGAGATCGTATCTAGTTCTTCTTATTATTTTTTTCTTACCGATTTTGTGCACGCGAGTTCTCGGAAACGGCTCGATGGATTTTCATGAAACTTTCAGGTCTGATAGAACATCAAAAAATCTAGAAATAAATTTTTTTATTTTGATGACGTCACTTCCGGTTCGGAGATTTTCGCAATTTTGTCATTTTTAGAGGGTCACTTTGTCCGGCAATGTTCTCAAAAACCGTTGAAGATAGAAGTATGAAATTTTCAGTGATGATAGATCAACCTTTGGAGAAGTGCAGTGAGTATATCATTTTCACCAGAAGTAGGTAGCACCGACGCTCGCTATGGCCCGAAAATAGTCCTATCAGGAATTTCAAAATATTTACCACCTTTTCTACGATAAATTTTTACCTAGAAATATTTTGTTAAAGCATGTAGAACAAAAAAGATGTAGAATATCAAGATCTACCAAATGACGTCTCGAAAAAAGGGCTGGCCCCTTAAATTAGGGGCCTGGAGGGGCCGAAAGTTTTTCCTTTATATCTCAAAAAGTTTTGAGAATTTGTGATACGTCAAAGAAGCAAAGTTGTTCAAAATGTCAAGCTTAATCTATTGAAGTCGTCAAAATACGCCCGGCGTCGTCACTTCCGGCCAAACCGGAAGTAGTCGGAAAACGCGTATTTTTGCCGTTCTTGATAAGTTTTGGGTAACATATGTCTCTGGGAGCGTTAAAATTAATTTTCCGTCCGTCGTCATCACTTCCGGTCAAACCGGAAGTAGCAGTAAATGGCTTATTTTTGCATTATTTAACATGGATTTGGAGGATTCAAACCATTTTTGGGCGTTATTTCTCATTTTTGTTAAAAATGAAAGCTACTTCCGGTCAAACAGGACGGAAGACCTACTCGTTGCTTTGCAACGAGCTTTGCTCTAGTTATTATTTTTCTTCTTCCTGGGTACTTATTTGTCCGCGAATGATCTTGTAAACTGTTCATCCGATGTAGGTAAAACCTTTTTAGGGTAAGAAGACATGTTATGTAGATTTGCGGAATCAAGGTCATTTTGTGCGCACGTGCTTGCAAGAGCATGCACGTGCAACACGTGAAATGACCAATATAACAGATTTAGCCGTAACTTTTCTTTTTTTTGATGGAATGTTTTGAAAATATTAATATAAGTATATAATGGTATTATAGACAACATGACATGGTCATATTATCATGAACTCACGTGCATTCACGTGCGCTTCGCTCTGATTGGCTGAAACTAAAGTCTCAATATCTTTCTTGTTTTTTGACGAAATAATTTGAAATTTGAAATATGGTCATACATTAGAAGGTTCTACAACATGATATATAAGAATTATCATGAAAGCACGTGCATGCACGTGTGCTGCAATCTGATTGGCTTAAACTTTAAATGTCTATAACTTTCTTAATTCTCAAAAAATCAGGATGAATTTTAGAATATGAATAGATGTAATAGATTCCTACAATATGCTACTATCAAAATTGAATGCATGGACATGATAGCACGTGCGCATGCGCAATGCATAAAATGACTAAAATACTTGAAAACCAGAAGTCTCTGTCGAGACTGAAGCTCTACTGGTTTGAACTTTTATTATATACCCATCAATTTTCTTGTTTTTGTTACTGTTAATTTTACCGAGTCTGATCCGATTTTCCGGATCACCACACTGTGGTTTTCTGAATCCATATCACCACTCTCTGAAACTGATGACGTAGTACGCAA